TTCAACATCACTCTCACTACATTTCCCTGTGTGTGCTCATTCTCCTAATAGGGAATTACCTCAACAAAGACTCCTGAGAATGACATTAATAACTAAAAGTACAAACAAATGGATCATCAGCTCAACCTAGAATGCTCACTGGAGGCATAAATCACCTGGCTCAAATCATTGTATTTTGGACACATTAGGCAAACCTCTAATTCACTGGAGAAGCCTGTGATGCTTGTTGCTGGGCAAAGTGGAAGGAAAGAGAAGAAAAAGACCATTACTGGGTGGACTGGATTATGACTGCAATCCACGCATGTTGACAGGAAACCGGAAGGGTCAAGTTGGGATATTCCCTCCCAGAGAAGGTGTATTTATGTGGTTGCTAAGATCTGGCAAGGAATTTTCATCAGTCAGATGTGCTAATTAGGATTTGATTATCAGGGTTTTACTTGATTTCTAAATTGTAAAAATTGGGGTAAAGAAATAAAAGTGCATTTAAAAATGTACGCATATTACAAGAAAAAAATTAGAAAGCATTATTAAGGATAAAATATGTTTTAGGGACATTTGAATATGTATGTATATTCATGCAGATGTCTGTGTGGAAACAGAGCAGAAAACATTATGAAAAAATATTCAAAAGTAGTAGGTTGAAAGTAGTCTGATTCATCCCCACCAAATTGAATTGCATTATAGAATTAGGTAATAATGATAATTTTAAGTGGACTAAGTTCGGTTTGTTGGGCAGTGCTGTTGGCATTTATTTTGGGTTATCTTAAGAATAAGAAGTTTGTACAGTGATTTATAGTATCATATAATTATTAATACGTGGAGGTGGAAGCAGATCCTACCCATTCTGTAATGGGCATAAAATATGTACTTTGACCAATTGTTATGTTACAGCAACAGCAATGCGTATCTTTTAATGTTTTATAAGAGCAATGGGAATTATAAAATATTCTGAATTTTTTTGATACGATATTGTTAAGCTATATAAATGAGTGGTTTTCAATTGCTACATTTGGTACTTTTTTATTCATGCAGCATTTTAAAAGCATTTAAAAAATGCTAAATAATGGAATCTGACTTTTTACTGGTGTGACTGTTAATTTGCAGGACTTGTAATTGTCTGGGGAAAACAAATGGGGGATAATGTATAATTGAGAGCAACTATATTTGAGGTAGAGTAGATATCAAACAAAATTAGGGTGGAGCAAGGGTAGAGTTGGCAACTTAGGTTTTTGCAAAAAATATTTGCTTTTCATTTATATTACTTGCTAGGTGTCTTTGCTTTTGGGGGATAAAATAATATATTTACATTTTTGTGCTAAATTAATTCCTATTGCTGTTAATATTTTATAGTTTCAATCCCTTGCATAATTTTATTTTGGAATATTTTACAGCAACAGTGATGTTTCTGAATATGAACATTACATATTTATTCCTGATTTTATAAACTCAGAGTGTTTTTTTTTTTAAGTTTGACCTAATTCCTTTCTTGAAACAAGAAATAAAGTAATAAGCAAGAACTATTGTGGAATGGAGATGGGTGCCTTTCCTCTTGGTCTCCTCTATTCTCTAGAGTCTGAGTTAATTTGACAGGCATAAACAGTGGTGCTTGCAAGATTAAGTAAGCCTAGTCTGTACATCCTTCTGGCCCGCATCACCATGTATCCCACTCACTGTTCTGTCTTAGAGATATAAACATGGCATCTGTGTTCTCTCCTCTCCGCAGCTGTTTCCCATCAGATTCTCTCTATCTCTCCTCAAGTGGAGAAACACAATCCTATTTTTCTTACTTGTAGCCATTCTACATTATTTTATTTTCACTTGTCGGATTACAAAACGGGGGCTGAAAAATAAGATATGGGATATGGGAATACTACATGGATTAGCATGTTATGCAACCTTAGGCAATGAGGTTATGTTTATTACTATGGGTTTTTTTCTTATAAAATTCTAAGATTTAATTTTTAATATAAAAAATGTATTAAAAAATAAACATTTTCTAACCAGGACTCCTAAATTGTCAAGCATCATTCTGGCTTGATGTGTTTTAATCAGAATGGTTAGGGACAGGGGTGGGATTCTACTGGTTCACACCGGTTTGGTAAATCTGGTTGTTATGATGCCCAGTAGTTCGGAGAACCGATAAAATGAGCCCCTGGCTGACCCCGCCCCTCTCCACCTGCTCCTTTGTTTCCTGCCCAGTCAGTCCTTATCACGCATGCATGACATCACATGCATGCACAACTATCTCTGATGGCATTCTCCCCCTGCCTGCCCTGCTCTGCCCCGCCCAGTCACTCCTTATAGTGCATGCACTACATCACTTCCCGTCTTTTCCCGCCCACCGCCATCACTGGCTTGCAGCAGCAGCAGTGCCAGCCAGCCAGCCATCGCTACCTGCTTTTCTCCACCCTTCCTGATCTGGGTGAGTGAAGGCTTTGCAAGCCCCGATCGCCACCACCGCCAGCCGCCCTCGCCTGGCCTGCCTGCCTCCCTCGGACTGCCTGCCTCCCCCAGCCACCATTGCTGAAGATGCAGATTGGTGAGACCTCCAAGCAAGCCCCGGTCGCCTACCTGCTGCCGCCACCAGCTCCGGTTGAGTCATGATGACTTCCAGACTGCCAAGCTGCCCTTGCCGATGCTACTTGCCTTGCCCGGCCTCCACCTTCCCCCTGTAGCCCAACGCACTGTTGCTTTCTGGCCTTCCACCACTGATTGGTGAGTGAGGAGGCAAGCAGCAAGCCCCGCCAGTTGCCTACCTCCTCCTGCCGCTGCCGCTAGCCCTGGTCAAGTGCCGACTCCCTTTTGAATGGTTGCTGAATGAATGGTAGTAATGGAGTAGTATACTACTTGCAAAATGTACCGATAAATTGAATTCACTAGAGATGAGTTTCTTAAGAAATATATATGAAGAAGTAATAGAGTCAAGAATGAATGGATGATGTTTGAATAGGGACAGAATTAAATGTGTGATGATGAAAGTATTTCAGACCGCTTGGCCATATACAGAAAATGGGTAAGAATTAAATCACAACAAAAATACATGAAGAAATAGTGAATTTGGGAAAAATGGTAAGACTGAAAAAGTCATGGTTGTATGAAATCGATAACTCATTGAAAGAACTAAGAGTACTGTATGAATATGGTAGTAGTGCAGATGTTGCAAGGATAGAAAAATATGGAGAAGTATCATGAATATTGCTAATACAGAGAATATTTCCTTTTGTCTCCTGCCTTTTATATGTTTTGATCATTACTGGTCACTGTTTTCTGTGCTTTGTATAATTTATGCCAGAAGTGCGTACCTGCCCCTGCTGGATTGCAGTTTCCACTTTCCTAGCATGGCTAGATAGAAATATAATCAAGTAACACAAATAGCTGTCATAAAGGGGTAAGGTGCAAATAGTTTCAATGACATGTAAGACATCAAGAACTGGGAAGACTTCCAAACCAAACACCTTGCTGTAGCCTCCTAATACACTTATTTTCCAAGAAAGTTTTTGTAGCCCTAACACAATTTCCTGAAATTTGGATGAGGGAAATTTACTCCTTGTTTCCTATTAAAATAACTTTTGACTTCCCAGTTAGGACCTGATGATACAAATTCTCAAATCTTAAACTATATTATTGGAAATTGTTTTAAAAATTTGTTAACCCATTTTTACAGATAACTGAAGATATGATAATTGCCCTCGCAATTTGGAATAAAAAGTTAGAATATGCTATTTAACAAATTAATGGTCTTATTTCTAAATAATGTTAATTTTGGTAGTTTTTTATGAATGTGAAATAAGACTAATTCATCGAAAGATTATTTTCAAGTTTATGAATTTTTAAGAAAATTTGAATGTCAATTTTTTATGCTGCAACTATAATATATTTGAAGAAAGTTGTTCCTATGCAATTTGGTCATATGACTGTTCCATAGTTATCCCTTTTAGATTGAACACAGGAATTCACATTATTATGAATATGATCTTGGATAGAGAAATACGGTTTAAATATGTTACTGCTATATTTAATTATATATCAAAAACTTGTGATTTGTTTTTATGAAGAAATTTGGACTTACTGAGCATGGAAAGTAGGTCAGAATTATTTGCTGGAAAAATACTGCTATTCCAGACATAAAGTCCCTGCATTCAACCTCTTGTCTTTGAATGAATGTGTTCAACCTCTGTCTTTGAATGAATACACACAATCACATATAAACATACAGTTTTCTATATTGTGATTGCTGCTCTCTTATTTAAAAAAAAATAAAGAGCATGCCAGATTCAAGTTTCTAAAAAAATGAAACAATGCATTAAAATGTATAATATCCAGTGGGAGAGATATCCTGGAGGATAAAAGAAAGATTTTTATGGATGCATTTTATAGGCACACCACATTTATGGAATGTCCTTTTTTCATCTTGAAGCATATCTTTTCATTTTAATCCTTAAAAATATACTTACACACAGTCTCCAGCATTATGCATTTAGTCATTGCAAGTATCTTTCTTAAGATGAACACACAATTCCAGTGTAGTAGTGGCAGGCCAAGGGTGAACCAAATTTAAAATAAAAAATATATGCCAAAATATTTTATCCTAGAAAACAAAAAGATATTATCTGGCATTAAATATAAAATAATAATGAATTAAATACCTAGCAATTACATGCCTTTTTGTCATCTTAAGATAACTTGTTTTATCTGACTGTTAAATGACTTTAATTCAAGCCAGTGGACTTGCTGCTGTCCATAACAATAGAATTTCATTGCACTGTTTAGATAATTAACTAGTTAAAGAAACAAAAGCTTCCCAGTGAGAGTTTTATAAATTAGCCAAGTCTGTATTGTGAACATGATTTCTTTATGAAAGGGAGATTTTAGATATTTTAAGATGAAAACAGATTTTCAATTTTTAAAAAATTATTTCTCTTTTAGCATTCTTAACCAAGTTTCAAAATTTAGTCTGATGTGAGAATTTGTTCCTAATGTTTACATTTTGTTCTTTACAGATTTGTAAGTGAAACAGTTTCTCTATAAAAAAAGATCAGGATGACCAGCTCTGCCCGAGATCATCTGCTTTTTGCCCGACGGCGTAATCCACAATTGCGTTACACTTTGAGTCCAGAGAACCTCCAGAGCCTTGCATCTCAGAGCAATGTGGCTGAGAATGTGAACTTGCAGCGTGCCAACAGTGACACGGATCTGGTGACGTCTGAGAGCCGTTCTAGTTTGACTGCAAGCATGTATGAATACACTCTAGGACAATCTCAGAACCTCATTATTTTCTGGGATATTAAAGAAGAAGTGGGTCCCACAGACTGGATTGGGCTGTACCATATCGGTAAGTAATGGGTTTTTCTCCTTCCCATGTAGCCAATATTTACTTTCCTTATAAGTAGAAAAATCAGCATCAGAGAATTATAAGGCAGTTTGGTAAAATGAGTTCACCACTCAGGAAACAAATATTAACACTAAAGAAACAATTATGTAATATAAAAGAGACTTGCACAGAATTGAATGCATATACTGTACATCTGTAGTAATTTAAAACAGGTGTTAAAACTGGAACTATCAGTTAAATAAGGGCAGGATAGAATAACCAGATCCCACACTTATTTATTCTGCCTCCCAAAGACCATCCTATTAACCCAAAGTTGAAAGGAGGAAGGGAGCTGAATGCAGAGTCAAGTGCAAAGTCCTTGAAGGCCCAACTGGAATTTAGAGATCCAACTAAATCCCTGTTCAGAGGGATATTAAGAACGAACTGGATCAGAGGAAGAAATAAAGGCAGACTGATACTGGGACGTTTCTGAACGGATGGCTTTAAACATATCTATCAGTATCTGGTTTAATCTGGATTCTTACTTAAATAAGAAGCTGGTACTGAGACATGAAAATACAAGTAGTCCTCGACTTACGACAAATTGAGCCCAAAATTTCTGATGTTAAGTGACACATTTGTTAAGAGAGTTTTGCTCCATTTTACAACTTTTCTTGTCAGAGTTGTCAAATGAACCCCTGCAGTTGATAAGTTAGTAACCCGGTTGTTAAGGGAATCTGGCTTCCTCATTCACTTTTAAGGAGGTCACAAAAGAGGATCATGTGACCTTGGGACACATAAATATGAACTAGTTGCCAACTGTCTGAATTTTGATCACATGATCATGGGTATGCTTGCAAAGGTCATAACTGGAAAACAGTCATGAGTCACATTTTTCAGTGCCATTGTAACTTTGAACAGTCACTAAGTGATCTGTTGTAAATCAAGGACTACCTGTAGTATGGAAGGATGTGAACAACAAAAATGGCAATATTCTGGATTAAGATCTGAGGATGCAGAACAGAATTGGGATCGCTTGTGAGGAGACAATTACAACATTCTAGATGAGAAACAACCAGAGACCATATGCTGCAATCTCCCTTGTCAGAAACCTGCAGATCCTATTCATCAAGTAAAACTTAGCATCTTAGCTGTAAAATCAGTAAATGGGCAGGAAGTCAGCTGATCTACAATGAGGGAGTGTAAGATTTTCTTGGTCTGTTCTCAGTAATTTTTATTAACAATGAATGTGTTTGTTTTGATCGTCTCTTTTCATTTTATATAAAACAAGACGTCCTGTTTTAACTATCTTGCACAATCTTTAATTTGATAGCATTTTGAATTAACCACAGGAATTTCAAAACCACAGGAATGCTTTTTTAATCATGGTTGTTCGTACTATTATATTACATATGAAAGTCGGGCCATGTGCTTATATCCTTTTTTCTCACTTATTTCTGTGATATACTATACATACACTTTTTCTTCTGATGTGTACTAAAATGAAGGTATATTTCTGAATTCAAAGATCAGTGGAACTTCTTCTATTAAGGTAAGAATAGCTAGCATTAGCTAAACACAAATTCTCTGCAAAAAGTTTGTTCATCAGATAATTTACTTTTTTGATGATTTTTTTTGCTTCCATTCAATTGTGTCCAATTTTCTGCCTGGATAAGTCCCTTCAGTTTTCTTGGTAAGGTTTTCTAGCAGTGGTTGGCCAATTACTTCCCTTCTAGGACTGATGAAAAGTCATTCGTCTAAAGCAGGTGTGTCAAACTCACATTGTCAGTGTTGTCACATGATGTATCCCGACTTTTTTTCTTCTGCTAAACCCAGCGTGGGCGTGGCTAGTGTGTGACACATCCGGCCTGTGGGCCCGGAGTTTGACAGCCTTGGTCTAAGGCAGAGGTCTCATTCTCACGGCCTACGGGCCAATTGCAGCCCGCAGGACGATATCCTGTGGCCCCCACTGTGATATGAAAGTATATTAGTGCGGCCCACAGGGGGAATGGACCTCTGAAAGAAGTCCCGCCCGCTGTTCCTCGTCGTGGCTGACATTCGGTGCTAGGCTAAGCTACACCGACTTCATGCACACTACGCTTGTAACAACAGTGTGGCAGATGACGAACAGTCTGGTAGCAGTTGCCTTTTTTTGCGGTTGCCATTCCGGTACTTTCTACCATCAACAAATGCCACGATCAAACGCAGAGAAAGGCGACTGCTACCGGGCTGTTCGTCATCCGCCGCGCTGTTGTGACAAGTAGAAGCGGAAATGATGTCACGCGTCGAGACGTTTTGCGTCACTAGCTGGCTAAACACTTCTATGAAATGTGGAACAAGAGCAATGCCAAGTGGAATAAACTAAATTTTGTCACACCCTTATCATGTCTTTGTCAAAGCCAAAGCCTGCAGTGAAGAGAAAGATAGGACAATTTCAGCAAAGGTGGGAGATGCAGTATTTCTTTGTTGAGCACAGGGGCATCCCGACATGCCTTATTTGCGCTGAAAAAGTTGCAGTGCACAAGGAATACAACCTGAAACGTCATTATTCAACTAAGCATGCTGAAGAATGTGCAAAATATCAGGGGGATGAGAGAGCCAACCGGGTTGCCAGCCTTAAAACATGTCTAGTGAGGCAACAAGATTTCTTCAAGAAAGCAACCAAAGAGAATGCTGCAGCAGTTGAAGCTGGCTATATGGTTAGTGAGATGATTGCTAAGGCGGGAAAACCATTCACAGAGGGAGAGTTTGTAAAAAAAACGCATATTACAGGCTGCAAGTATAGTTTGTCCTAAAAAGAAAAGTCAGTTCAGCAACATCAGCCTTTCTGCCAACACAGTGGCAGAGCGCATTTCTGACCTGTCAAGTGACATTTATCATCAACTGTGTGAGAAAGCCAGATGTTTTGATGCATATTCAGTTGCTCTTGATGAGAGCACAGACATAACTGACACTGCTCAGCTCACAATTTATGTCCGTGGTGTTGATCGCAATTTTGAAGTGACAGAGGAGTTGCTCAGAGTAATTCCAATGCATGGCCAGACCACCACTCATGAGATATTTCGCCAGCTGTGTGATGCCGGTTTGCCATGGAATAGGTTTGTTGGAATAACAACCGACAGAGCGCCATCAATGACTGGGAGGAAAAATGGACTGGTGGCACTTGTTCAGAGAAAACTTGAGGAGGAGGATGTAGAAGAGGCTATTGCTCTGCACTGCATTATCCATCAGCAGGCCCTTTGCAGCAAATGCCTGAAGTGTGACAACATGATGTCTGTTGTTGTGAAATGCATCAACCACATCAGATCCAGGGGCATAAAGCACAGGAGGTTCCGTGCTATTTTAGAGGAAATGGAGTCAGAATATGAAGATGTGCTCTATTTTACCGAGGTACGTTGGCTCAGCAGGGGAAATGTCTTGAAAAGATTTTTTGAACTGAGAGAAGAAGTGAAAGCCTTCATGGAGAAGGATGGGATGGCTGTTGCCGAGTTGAATGATCGGAAATGGCTCGTGGACTTAGCTTTTCTTGTCGACATCACACATGAGCTGAAGGTACTGAACAAGAAGTTACAAGGCCAGGGGCAGCTTGTCAGTGCTGCCTATGACAACGTGAGAGCATTCTCCACAAAACTTGTGTTATGGAAAGCCCAGCTCTCTCAGACAAACCTTTGCCATTTCCCAGCATGCAAGGCACTTGTGGATGCAGGCACACCACTCAGTGGTGAGAAGCATGTTGATGCTATTTTGAAGCTACAGAAGGAATTTGATCACAGATTTGCAACTTCAAGACGCACAGAGCCACTTTTCAAATTTTTGCAGACCCCTTTCACCTTTGATATGCAAGATGCCCCTCCTGTGCTTCAAATGGAGCTTATTGCCCCTCCTGTGCTTCAAATGGACCTGCAATGCAACTCTGACCTCAAGGCCAAATTTAGGGAGGTGAATGGAAAAGCAGACAAGCATGGGCAATTTTTGAGAGAATTGCCCCCCAGCTTCCCTGAGCTTTCCTGAATGTTCAAGCAGACCATGTGCCTTTTTGGGAGCACATATTTGTGCGAAAAGTTCTTCTCCACCCTGAACTTTAACAAGTCCAAGTACAGGTCCAGACTTACTGATGATCATCTTCAAGCCGTACTGAGGGTCTCAAGTGCCTCCTCTGAGCCAAATGTGGCTCAGATATGTGAGAGGAAGTGTTGTCAAGTCTCTGGCAGCAAGGAGTAAGCTGGAGAAGCCATGTTCTGAGGAACTGTTCATGATCTTCATTCAATGTTCCATTCATGTGTTCAGGACAGTTCATGTATTGGAGAAACCATTAACTGTTGATGACATTTGAGGATATTTTTTTAACAATGTTTTTTGTGGAATCCCTTATGCGGCCCTGTCTCACCCAGACCCTGCCTCCAGCGGCCCCCAGGTAAATTGAGTTTGAGACCCCTGGTCTAAGGTCTCCTAGCTGACTTTGTGCTTAAGACGAGATTAGAATTCCCCTTTTCCCAGGTTCTAGCTTGAAACCTTAACCACTGCACCAAAATGGTTCTCCATTTGTTGATACAGTAGCACAAAGAACTTGGATAATAATTTTTCTATATGAACTATTTTTTACTATATTTAATTGTATAACTTTGCATCATTGTGATGTTTTTCCTTGAAATGTTTATTTGCTACTTTTTTCAAGCTTGCTTAAAATTGGAAGTATTATTCTCAGGGCTTAGGAAATAAATCCCACAGCTGAGTGATCCTTTGATATAACTAATGTGTGTTATACTCTAGGTTATTTCTAGTTTAATGTAATAGATAATGCATGCGAATTGAGATGTCTCTAGTTTGAAATGAACTGATACATTGTTATCATAGTCAACAGCTTTATTAAGGTGGTATAAAAGTACAGTAAGAAACCACATTGCACAACAGATGGAAATTCTTTAAAGAATTTGACCTGCTATCAAATTAAGTCATTCCTTTCTTTTCTTTTTGAAAGTGGAATAGATTACATGCACTTTAGGTTTTATGCAGTTTGGCTT